TCACCTTTTCAAATGCTAACAGAAGTTAGGCACCTGGTTAGGCTATGGATTCGCTTTTGCCATGCTGTGGATTGGCTGTGTACATTGCTAGGTGCTTTGGTCACCGTTCTATGTGACCAAGGCAAGTCTCAGAAAAGAGAGCATTTAACTGGGGGATGGCTTACAGCTTTTAGAGTTAGTCCATGGCCATCATGATGGGAAGCAGACAGGCATGATACCAGAGTGGCAGCTGAGAGTTCACATCCTGATCTACAAGCAGCAGGCAGAGAGGAAGGAGACAGAGACTGCCCCTAGGCTGGGCTTTGGAAACCTCAAAGCCCACCCCCACTTGACAGGGCTCTACCACTGAGTCATGCCCCTAGCCCCTCACAGGGGAATTCTAGGCAGTTTGTCTCCAACCCTAGGTTGAATATAAATAAGGATTGAGGAAAGAGGGGAGGCAGGCATTAGGTTACAGACCGGCTGAGCAAATAACTACAGGGGGTGATGGGGGCCGGAGAGATGGCTCCGCAGTTAAGAGCACTTTGCTCTTGCAGAGGACCCAGGTTCAATTCCCAGCAGCACCCACATGGTGATTTCCATCTGTAACTCCAGATCTACGGGATCCCATGCCCTCTTCTGGCCTCTACAGGCACTGCATGCATGTGCTGCCCAAATACACAGGCAAAACACTCACAATAATAAAATCTTAAAAAAGATAAAAGGGAGTGCTAGACTAGGCATGCAGTTCGGTGGAGGAGTTCTTGTTTAGCTCGAGGCTCTCGGTTCCACTAGGACCAAAAAACTAACAAGGAAATGCTGTTTGGTTCCGCCTGCTGAAGCTCCTCCACTGTTGCCATTTTGGAAGCATTGTGTTGTAGCACTTCTCTCAAGTGCGCGCACTCCTTTCCTCCAAGAAGACTCTCCATTTGATGCTGTTCCCCAGCCCTTCCATCTCTCCCCTCAGTCCAAGCCTGAAAACGCTAAATCGCCTCCACTTAAATGCGGAGAGCAATCCACTTCCTGCCCTCCTGGGCATTTTCCTAAACAGAGAGAAACCTAGAGAGGAATTACAGTTTGCCTACAAGGTAGTGTGCCTGCAGGCTTGCCTGTGTCTACACACTCCTAGATGTCAGCTGGGATCCCTCTGCCAGTTAAGGACAGAGAGAAAACTAAGACCCCTTTCCAAAGTGGGACCCTCAATGACCTCCCCAAAATGAAAGGTAATTCTTGGGGCCTCCTAGCCTCTACTTCACCCCAAGTTCTTCTATGCTTTGGCTGTATCACCTCAATTCCAGGGGTCTTCCCAGTAGAGGTGAGAGCACAGACAGGTTCTGCTCTGTCCTTTACACACATACACACACACACACACACACACACACACACACACACTCAAGGCATTTACGCATGAGATTCTCTATAGCTTAATAAAGCAGGGTTTAAATCAATTGACAGGCTAGAGGCTGTGATGTATTTCAGCGGCTACCAGAATCCGAGTGGATCACACACACATGCATGCACACATGCACCACATAAAGGTAAGTATTCCTTCCTGGCGAATCCTCCCTAACTGTGGTCAGCCTCCAGTCATGTCTTTAGCTTGACATCCCACAGATCTGGTCCACCCAGTAGTATTTTAGTTTAAAAAAAAAATCAAGGAAATATTTAAAATTCCATCTCCCCACTGTAGCCAAACTTCAAGTACTCGAGCCTATGTGGACAGTGGCTACCATATCCACACACAGGGTCTATCATATCACAGCAGGGTTTCTGGACAATGCTACACAGGGTGAGGCCCTGGCTTAGAAGTTATCTGGAGTCTGTAAGAAGTGTGGCCAAAACGTCACCCCGCAGCTATACCACTGAAAGAATAAACAGAGGGGCAGGCCTAGTGGTGCTGACCTGTCATCACAGATACTCAGGGCTCCAGGCAGGAGGCTATGAAGCTAAAGCCAGTCTCGGTAACTCTGCGAGAGCCATCTTCAAAGAAAGTAGCATCGGGGCTGAGATGACAGAGCCATGAAAAACTGCGTGCTGGTGAAACTAGTGCTGGGGAATCCAAGACAGGTACATCCCTGAGGCTTCCCTTTGGTGAGTGCTAGGCTAATAAAATGTATGTCTCACTGGGCATGGAAGTGCATGCCTTTCAACCTAGCACTAAGGAGCAGAGGCAGGCAAGTCTCTGAGTTTCAGGCTAGCCTAGTCCACAAAGTAAGTTTCAAAGCCGCTAGCGGTATATAGTAAGACTGTCTCAAGAAATAAACAAAAAAGAGATGATGTCTCAAAGGTGACTGTGGTCCTGAGGATGACACCCAAGGTCCCCCCCTTCACACACAAGCACTTACAAACAACTGAGCATGCTCACACACACTACAAGTGACATAGACCCAAGGCTGTAGCCCTGTGTGCAATCCCTGGAGCCCATGTGGTAGAAAGGAAGGACCAACTCCTGCAAGTTTTTCTCCAACCTCCATGTGCACGCCATGTCCTCCCACACACATAATTAAATGTAAAAATAATAAATTCAGGGGCCGGCGAGATGGCTCAGCGGTTAAGAGCATTGCCTGCTCTTCTGAAGGTCCTGAGTTCAATTCCCGGCAACCACATGGTGGTTCACAACCATCTGTAATGAGATCTGGTGCCCTCTTCTGGCCTGCAGGCATATATGCAGACAAAATATTGTATACTTAATAAATAAATATTTAAAAATAAATAAATAAATTCAAAAAGCAAGGTTGGTGATAGCTCATAGGGTCATTGCGCTTGTTCCCAAGCCTGGTGGCCGGAGGGAGATCAATCTCCAGAGCCCACAGGGTGAAAGGAAACTGACCTGCAAGTTGTCCTCTGACCACAAGTGCACAATGGCATGCATGCGCTTACACACGCAATAAACAGGTAAACGTAAGAACTGTAGGGGCTGACAAGACGGCTTTAGCGGCTCAGAGCGTCTGGTCTCTGGTGCTTCTGGGCCTGCTTACTGGTGTGGACCGTTCAGTTATAATTCACTGAGCCAGGCTTCTTCCTTTAGGTCACCAGCCAGCTCCCAAATCATGACACAGACTCACTGGTTCTGAATGCCTGGCCTGGCTTAGGCTCATTTCTGGCTAGCTCTTTTAACTTAACCGGTTTCTTTGTCTATCTTTGCCTTGGGGCTTTTTACCTTCCTTGTTTCTGTGTATCTTTTTTTTGTTTGTTTGTTTGTTTTCAAGACAGGGTTTCTCTGTGGCTTTGGAGCCTGTCCTGGAACTAGCTCTGTAGACCAGGCTGGTCTCGAACTCACAGAGATCGCCTGCCTCTGCCTCCCAAGTGCTGGGATTAAAGGCGTGCGCCACCATCGCCCGGCTTACTTTTACTGCTTCTCTGTCTATCTGGCATCTGCCTGGTTTCTTCCCCTGGGTGTGTCCTTCTTTCTCCTTGCTGTTGGTTCTTCCTTCTCCTCACCTCAAGCCTAGGCTTCTCCTATCATTCTCTCTGCCTGCTATCCCTGCCTATCCTTTCTCTGCCTAGCTATTGGCTGTTCAGCGCTTTATTAGACCAATCAGGTACCTCAGGCTGGCAAGGTGTAACAATGCAACAAACGAACAAATGTAACACATCTTTGCTTGGTTAAACAAATATCCCACAACAATTTATTCTCTAAAAAAAAAAAAATCATTGTATGTGCCAGATTATGCCTGGGCTAAGAATGAAGACCTGTGTGCCAGCTTCGGGGGCTGGCAGTCTCAGAAGAAGCTGAGGTCAGGAGTGAAGGACAGTAGTGCTAGGCATCCGTGGGGTACCCTGACTTCTCTTCCAACCAGAGCTTAGTATGTTAGGGCCCAGATCAGGCTGGTTCCCCTTCTGGAAAGAAGAGACAGAAAGGTTTTAGTTTTACTTCTGTTTTGTGGAGATCAAATGATGAGTCTGAAGAACAGTAATAGGTAGAATACAGGTCAAATATAAGGGCTCCCTGGTGTCGCCGCCACTCCCCCTGCTAAGTCTCAAGCCTCTTTATAAGGCAAGAGCTTGGGCTGTGGCTATGAGGTGTTTCCTAGCGCCCAACAATGAGGGTCTAGGGGCACGGCTCGGGCATGGCACGATGAGAGCGTGACGGTCTAGTGTGTATAGGGCCCGGGTTCCACCACCAGTGTCACAACTAATAAAATCTAAAGCCTTTTCAAATATTTATATTTGGGGGCTGGAGAGATGGCTCAGAGGTTAAGAGCACTGGCTGTTCTTCCAGAGGTCCTGAGTTCAAGTCCCAACAACCACGTGGCAGCTCAACCATCTGCAATGAGAGCTGATGCTCTCTTCTGGCCTTGTAGGTGTGAATGCCGAGAGAACACTGCATACGCAATTGAAAAATAGATTAATTACTTTTTAAAGTTTCTGTGTCTATGTGAGTGTGTGTCATCACATGGGTGCAGATACACGCAGAGACCAGAAGAAGCCATCAGAGCTCCTGGAGGTGGAGTTACGAAGTGGTTGTGAACTCCCCTGCTACCAACTGCTCTGCCTCTGGGCCACATTCACACACACACACACACACACCAAAACACAACTTTGTTTCTTTGTTTTGGTTTTTCAAGACATGGTTTCTCTGTGCAACCCTGGCTGTCCTGGAACTCACTCTGTAGACCAGGCTGGCCTCAAACCCACGGAGACCCGCCTGACTCTGTCTCCCAAGGCAGATTAAAGGTGTGTGCTACCACTGTCCCGCCTTTTTAACGTTAACTCTCCACTAAAAACAAAAACACGAAACAGTATTTTCTTTGGCAATATGTTGGATTAAGAGACTGTTCCCGTGTCAGTTAAAAGGCCGTCCTCTCTCCAGCATCGCCTTCCCAGGCACTATCACCTCTGCAAAAGTTTCAGCGTGCTGGTGTCAGAATTAGGCCCCTTTGACCACTGTTGAAAAGAGGCACAGGAGGTACCTGCCCAGGAACTCCTGAGCAGTTGGGGTTAAAGGTGAAAGGGGCTCCTGGAGTGCCATGAGGTCATCTACGTGAGACTGACCCTGTCTTTCACGTCCCTGTCCTCAGGAAACTGGACGCCTTCATCTACGATGCGGCAGTGCTCAACTACATGGCCCGCAAGGATGAGGGCTGCAAGCTGGTCACCATCGGCTCGGGCAAGGTCTTCGCTACCACCGGTTATGGCATCGCCCTTCACAAGGGCTCCCGCTGGAAGCGACCCATCGACCTGGCGCTGCTGCAGTTCCTGGGGGACGGTGCGGCTATGCTGGGCAGAAAGTCCTACTCTGGAGAAGGGAGGGCTGTCCTTCGGTCCTGGGGAGGATGGGCTGGGGTTGGGGCTCTGTCGGAGCAGAGTGTGTTCACAGTAAGTGACTCTGACCCCATCTCCAGATGAGATTGAGATGCTGGAACGGCTGTGGCTTTCCGGGATCTGCCATAATGACAAAATCGAGGTGATGAGCAGCAAGCTGGATATCGATAACATGGCAGGTGTCTTCTACATGCTCCTGGTGGCCATGGGCCTTTCCTTGCTGGTCTTCGCCTGGGAACATCTGGTGTACTGGCGCTTGCGGCATTGCCTGGGGCCTACCCACCGCATGGATTTCCTGCTGGCCTTCTCCAGGGTAGGAAAGGGAACCTGGAGGCAGTACCTGGAGGGAAGCACCAGTAGAGGGGAAGGGGGATAGGGGGAGACAAAGAAATAGAAGATGTGGGCAGGACTCCGTGTGGAAGAAGAGGGAGTGGGTGCAGACACCCGGCTGACCCGTCCGCACCCCTCACAGGGCATGTACAGCTGCTGCAGCGCCGAGGCGGCTCCACCGCCTGCCAAGCCTCCGCCCCCACCGCAGCCGCTACCCAGCCCCGCATACCCCACCGCGCGCCCGCCCCCAGGCCCTGCACCCTTCGTGCCCCGAGAGCGAGCAGCCGCCGACCGCTGGCGCAGGGCCAAGGGCACCGGGCCTCCGGGAGGCGCAGCGCTGGCCGACGGCTTCCACCGATACTACGGTCCCATTGAGCCGCAGGGGCTGGGCCTCGGCGAGGCGCGCGCGGCACCCAGGGGCGCGGCCGGACGCCCTCTGTCCCCACCCGCCACACAGCCCCCGCAGAAGCCACCACCGTCCTACTTCGCCATCGTGCGCGACCAGGAGGCGGCCGAGCCCCCCGCCGGAGCCTTCCCCGGCTTCCCATCCCCGCCTGCGCCGCCCGCCGCCGCAGCTGCCGCCGTCGGACCGCCACTGTGCCGCCTGGCTTTCGAGGACGAGAGTCCGCCTGCGCCCACGCGCTGGCCGCGTTCCGACCCCGAGAGCCAGCCGCTGTTGGGTGGGGGCGCGGGCGGCCCGAGCGCGGGGGCCCCAAGCGCCCCGCCGCCGCGCCGCGCCGCGCCCCCACCGTGCGCCTACCTGGACCTCGAGCCGTCGCCTTCGGACTCCGAGGACTCGGAGAGCCTGGGCGGAGCGTCGCTCGGCGGCCTGGAGCCCTGGTGGTTCGCCGATTTCCCGTACCCGTACACCGAGCGCCTCGGGCCACCGCCCGGCCGCTACTGGTCGGTCGACAAGCTCGGGGGCTGGCGCGCCGGCAGCTGGGACTACCTGCCCCCGCGCAGCGGCCCCGCGTGGCACTGCCGCCACTGCGCCAGCCTGGAGCTGCTACCGCCGCCGCGCCACCTCAGCTGCTCGCACGACGGCCTCGACGGCGGCTGGTGGGCGCCTCCGCCGCCACCCTGGGCTGCTGGGCCACCACCCAGGCGCCGGGCACGCTGTGGGTGTCCACGCCCGCACCCTCACCGCCCGCGGGCCTCGCACCGTGCGCCCGCTGCGCCGCACCACCACCGACACCGGCGCGCGGCAGGCGGCTGGGACATCCCGCCGCCCGCGCCCACCTCGCGTTCGCTCGAGGACCTGAGCTCCTGTCCGCGGGCGGCCCCCTCACGCAGGCTCACCGGGCCCTCACGCCACGCGCGCCGCTGCCCGCATGCTGCGCACTGGGGGCCGCAGCTGCCCCCCGCACCGCACCGGAGACACCGGGGCGGGGACCTGGGCACGCGCAGAGGCTCTGCGCACTTCTCCAGTCTGGAGTCCGAGGTATGATGCGGCTCCGGGAGGCCCCCGTCGCCCCCTCGGTCAGCGCAGGCCACGGCCCGAGGGGGCGCTCTAGAGTGGACAGGACCCACATGGGTTGGGAAGGACGGAAACGGACCTGGCTGGACCCCGCCTGGAGCAGCGTCCTGCGTCCCCTCGCGTTGGGGAAACCATGAGCCAGAGGGGGACTTGGTCGCCCAAATCTCACCCATCCTGAGAGCAAATGGGGCGGGGTTCTCGGAGCCCACCGACTCTTTTTTTAAAAAAAACCCCGAAAAGGGCTTTTTAACGTCACCTGATTTGGCGGGAGATGGGGAGGGGTCTCGCCGCGCCCCGCCCCCCACTCTCGGGGCCCTGACCCTCACATCACTGTGCAGCTCCCTGGCCCCAAACACACCTCCCGGGGAGCCTGTTTTTAACCTTTCATTCATCAGGACTCAAAACTGTGAGACGAGTACGCCAAACTGTGACTCCAGACCTTGGCCCCGCCACACAGAAATCCCTGACCCCAGACTGTGACTTCCAACACCTACAATGATCATCTGACCCCAGACTGTGCCCCGACCAGACTGTGACCCTTCATGTCAGACCTCGATGACCCCCTCCTTTTAGATCCTTGTTGGTTCTGACCTATGACCTATCCTCCACGAAAGTCCTACCTTCACCTGCCTCCCCCACTTCCCTATCAACCACATCTTTAAATCCAGCCCTTATTTGTGATCCTTCAGTGATGACCCAGCAGACATTCCCCTCCCGCACCCTCCCCCGGACCTCCTTTCCCAGATCTCAGCAGGGTCTGAGGCTGGGTTGAGAGGCGGGTCTGGGAGCCCACACTTGACCCTTCCCACTCCCACTACTACACTGCAGTGTTTGGAATAAAACCATGTTTTTACGCCTCCTCAGTCCAAGCCTGAGCTCTGTGTCTGCCTCTTAGGCCCCTTCAACTTCTCTGGAGAAAATGGAACCTGAGAAAAGTCCGTGGGAAAGACAGTCAGACAACAGAAACTGGGCAGCTGGTGTAACAGGCAGAGTGTTCTAGCATTCATAAAACCACGAGTTCAGTCCCCAGGAGATGGGGGAAAACACAATCAAGGCCCAGGAAGTGGCAAGAGACCCGAGGGAAGAGGGGTGGGGAGGGGGTGGGGAAGAGACGCCCCAAAGAGTAGCGGAAAAGATAAGGGATGCAAAAGTTAGGACCAATCTAGATGCCTGTTCCTAAGGCTACTGGCAAGAATGGTTTGCTTGGTTATCTTATGTAAACGAAGAGTAAACCCACGTCTTGAATATCCTTAATCTCCCCAGTGAGAATCTATTCCTATTTCATTACGCCAATTAACCAAAACTCGGGTGCACAAGGGTGGATAAAGAGAGCTGACACAGTTGTAGCTGCGGCCTCAAGAGAGACTTTCTGATTAAGTGCCTGCTGACCAGTGCTGCCATGGGAATGGCTGTTTGGGAAATGGACCGCCCCAGAGGATAGATTCAATCTACTAACTTATACATAATATCCAACCTGTCTACCCTAAAGCATTTTTGAAACAATTTAAAGCCATCATAACAAGGAGAGGAGAAGAAACCGTCCTTATAGGTCCTCGGGGAATAGAAGCCCAGTCTCTTTGCCAGCAAGCGCTTGTTTGCATACATGAATAGTTAACTAACTGGAAAGACAGCCCGGGGAATTAATGGTGGAAGTGGAGAGGGACTCGGAATTCAAGGACTCCCGTGGAACGACAACTCCCAGAAGGCCTTGCCACTGCTGCAGAAGAACTCCCCAAGGTCACGCGAAAGACGAGTCTGGGGCTAGTCTGTCTTTTTTCACTAGCCCGTTACCTGGGGCATCCAACTCTGTGCACCACCTACTTATTACTGGCTCTCAGGTTTCCAAGGTAACAGTGCAGTGGGACAGGTCTTAGACCGGGAAAAAAAAAAAAAAAAAAAAGAGAAACCCGGAAGTGACGTCCTTACTTCGCGTCAGGGCGAGAAGGTTCGAAGATGGCGGCGCGCAAGGGACGGAGACGCACATGTGAAACTGGGGAACCCATGGAAGCCGAGTCCTGCGATCCAGCATCCGAAAGCCCACCCCAGGTCTACCTGCCCGGCAAGGGACCGCCATTAGGAGAAGGGGAGGAGCTGGTGATGGACGAGGAGGCCTACGTGCTGTACCATCGTGCGCAAACTGGTAGGCTGAGGACCCTGATTCTTGGACCCAGGGAAATGAAAGGCTTGACTTGGAGCCTAGGGGACGAGCGGTCTGGAGTCTGAGGGTTGTCATCACCTTGCGGACTGCTGGCCATAGACTCTGCTACTATACCGTCTTCCCTCCCTCCCTAGGCGCCCCTTGTCTCAGCTTTGACATAGTCCGAGATCACCTGGGTGACAACCGGACAGAACTCCCGCTCACTCTCTTCCTGTGTGCGGGAACCCAGGCTGACAGCGCCCAGAACAATAGGTGAGACTCAGTACCTTTTCATGATCCTCAAGGACCCACAAGAGTTAGGGCTGTCAGTGTCTGCCAGACCTAAGAGTCTGGGTCCTCGGCCTCCTTCCTCCCTAAACGTCCTGGCACTCAGTTCCTAATTTAATTCATCCTTTGCTTCCCCAGACTGATGATGCTTCGGATGCACAATCTCCATGGGACCAAGCCGTTACCCTCAGAGGGCAGTGATGATGATGAAGAGGAAGATGAAGAGGATGAAGAGGAGCGGAAACCTCAGCTGGACCTGGCCATGGTTCCTCACTATGGTGGCATCAACCGAGTTCGGGTACTTGCCTTCCCAGGGGCTGTGCAGCATTCTCTGCAGCTTACCCCTTCCCCAACAGTCAAGTCCCTCGGTACCTTCTCCTGCCCTGCAGGTTTTTCGTTTTAGTTCTTTAGACATAGTCTCACTAGGTAGCCCAGGCTGACTCCAAACCCACGGTGGTTTCCCTGCCTCAGCTTCTAAAGGTTGAGATAACAGGCATGAGCCACCACACTCAGTTCCCTTCAGCTTTTACTCATTTATTTAATGGTTTTTATTCCTTAAGAGGGGTGATAGCTGTTACACACTTGGTGTGGTTTTAGACTGTAGTGGTTTTTTGCTTGTCGTTGTTACCACGATTGTTAGGCAAATGCTGGAAGTCCTGACGCTTCCTAGGTGGGGCTGGAACAGCACATGGTTGTGGGATGTAAGGGATTCACTTAGCTATTGCTTAGGACTTGAGGCAGCATAAGCGACAGGGTGAGTTCCAAGGTAGCTCAGTGGCGGAGTGCTCACCTCACGTGACTGAAGTGTCTTCCTCTGGTCAGGTGGATGAACAAATAAAGGAGGTGATATGCGAAGAGGACTCAGACCAAAACTTCACCCACAACCGGGCCTGTGGGTTTCTGTCCAGTTCTTACTATGCCTTGGGTACTCTCCTAGTCCCACAAGTTTTAGCCTGGTGACAGGCGGCTCTGAATCTATGAGCTCAACATCCTAGTGAGGAAGGGAACAAGAAGGAACTTGTAAATATGTAGTTTGTTACAAGATACTATGTGTGAGCCGGGTGGTGGTGGCGCAGGCCTTTAATCCCAGCACTCAGGAGGCAGAGACAGGCGGATCTCTGGGAGTTCGAGGCCAGCCTGGTCTACAAGAGCTAGTTCCGGGATGGGCACCAAAGCTACAGAGAAACCCTGTCTCAAAAAAAAAAAAAAAGAATACTATGTGTGGTGGAGAAACTGAAAGTAGAGGAAGGACGTTCCTGGGGTGGAGTTGCTTTTGTAAATGGTGCCGCGAGAGGACTTGGTGAGCAAGTACTCTTGGGATAGAGACCCACGGCAGGTTCTGAAGTTTCAAGGGGAGACCAGCGTGTGTGAAGTGTGATGGACAGAGGCAGAAGTGAGCACCCAGAAGACCAGTTGTTTGGGCCCTGCAGGGCAGTGTGAGGCCTTGGGCTTCTCCCTCTGGAGAAATTAGGAGCAAGTGAGAATGGCAAGTTGAGGAAGGACCTGTCTGGTATTAGTTAAAAGAATCCCTCTGGCTTTTGTGTAGAAAATCGGCTGCAGGAAGGCAAACGTTTGATTCTGTAAGGGGCGTCGGTGGAGACATATGCCACCACAGCACAGGTGGTTAGAAAGATCTGGAAGGGTGCTTTCAGTGTAGGTGTGAAGAAGACACAGTTAAGCATGGATCTCAGCGTTTGGGCCCAAGGTGAATGAATGTCTTGGGGTTGCTGTTGCTGTGATGAAATCCCAAAAGCAGCTCGGGCAGGAAGGGCTTTACCCCACTCACACTTCCACATCACTGTTTGTCGCCAAAGGAAGTCCGGAAGCCCTGGAAGGTTGCTGCTTCATGGCTTGCTCAGTCTGTTTTTTTTTTTTGGGGGGGGGGGGGGAGTTTGTTTTGTTTCATCTTGTTTGAGGCAGGGTTTCTATGCAGGGTTCTGGCTGGCCTGGAACTTGAGCTGTAGACCAGACTGACCCTGAACTCAGAGATCTACTTCCTTAGGGCTGGAATTAAAGGCGTACCACTGCCACCTAGACTGTCCGCTTTTTTCAGAATCCAGGACCACCTGCCCTGGGATGACCCCACCCACAATGGGCTGGGCCCTCTCACATCAATCACTTTAAAGGATGTTCCCCTGCCTGCAACCCCCTCTTACAGAGTCATTTGCTCAGTGGACGCTCCCCTCCCACAGATCCTCTAGTTCTGTCAGTCTGCCGTAAACTCGCCAGCGCAGTGGAGAACCCCAGAGGGATGTGCTGCCTGTGGTAACAGGGCAGACCAAGGGTCTCGGAGTGAGCGCAGAGGTGCAAGGTCATGCGGCCCAGGCCCTGGGACCCTTTAGCACACAGAGTGTTTCAGAGATGCCAGAACACCGTGGGAGCTTTGAGCGTCATCCTCACTACTAACACACACACACACACACACACACACACACACACACACACACCAGGAGGTGACAGTTTCCATCTCGCAAAGTTGCTTGGGAACTGTAGTTTGTCTGTAGGCATGCAGAGGTTATGGTTCTGGAGGTCTGTTGTCCAACCTTAGGCCTCTTCTCTGTTTTGTGCGCCCCTGGCAGGTATCCTGGCTGGGAGAGGAGCCTGTGGCTGGAGTATGGTCAGAGAAGGGCCAGGTAGAAGTGTTTGCGCTGAGGCGGCTCCTACAGGTGGTAGATGACCCCCAGGCCCTG